TAACTGGGTAGTGCGATCCCTCGTGGAATGCGCAGAACTGCCGATGAGAGCGAAAAGCCGGCTTCCTGCTCTCCTGAAAGGACCGGCGATACTTGCGTTGGGTAAAAGGCAGCGATGTTGAGTAAGTGCGCCACTACGTGGCGTTTGAGCGCTTCGCGCGGATATCCGCTGCAGATCGTCCAGAAATAGTAAAATTCACGAGTATAGTCATAGAATAAGAGCACATTATTCGTAGTCTTTGGCAAAGTTCACGAAAGACGAAACGTCGCGACTCGCGTTGCCAACAAAAGCAGCGTGCGTGGAAGCAGCGAACTTTAACCTCTACCGCAGCGCCACATGGAACAGCTCATTTCGTTTTTACCACGGGAGTGCATGCCTCCTGTTTGATGCGTTTTATCAAGAGTTAGAAGATAATGGCAAGAGTAGATAATAACACATTGTGTTGGTATCTACTCTTGATAATGGTTATATACCTTCTTTATCTGCTCTTGTTATTATCTTACTCTAGGTGTCTCTATATATTTTTATGGTTTGATCACAGCCACTTGTTGTAGCGCTAGCAGTCTGATGACGTCACAGTGCGAATTTGAGCAAAACGTTGGTGTAACAGGATCGACTGAAGGTGGCATGTACAAGTTACAGCAGTATAACCTCCGGCCAAATTGTTCGGCTTGCAGAGAGAGGAACTGAGAATCGATCAAGAGAGGTCACGTATCGAGAAGCGGCGCGACGCGGTAGTGAGACACAACGAGACCTGTCTCATCGACGATACGAGACACGGCGAGGCATGTCTCAATCTGCGCAGACGCAGCGAGCACGATGTAAGGTACATCGAGTTGTGGCTCGAGGGCGGAGGAAACAGCGAACACTTCCTCGTGGATGCTGATGAGGAAGCTAATCGGAAGGAAAGATCGAAGAGAGAGAGGGACCGATCTTCTTCTTCTTCTTCCTTTCTGCCTCCTCCTTCTTCTTTATATTTTTTCTCTTTATCTTCTTCTTCTTCATCTTAATTTTCGTCTTCTTTTATTTGCTTCCATTGTCATCATTGGGAGATGCACACGATTCAATATGAGAAGTTTTTTTTCTTGCTCAAGTTGTTAAATAGCATTTGATGTTATACAAGTCGACGTCTGTACGCGCCCTTGTAGAGTATAGATTGCACGCAAGCTATTTACAATTTTAGACGCGCACACACGCGATTGCTTCTGCCTCTAATGACTCACGGTCGGCTACATGCCGACGTCAGCGTCTGCTAGCGCCGTCGACGAAAATCTAAAATTCCGGCGCAGAAGAATGTGATAATGGCTGTGTAAAGTCTGCCCGCGTGTTGCCAGCACTTTCACTAACGCCGATAGGGAGAGAGAGAGAGAGCGAGAGCGAGAGAGAGAGAGAGAGAGAGAGAGAGAGAGAGAGAGAGA